AAAGTGGTCGCTGCAAACTCCTGCATTGTTGTCTGTTTCCACACCTCTAGATTATTGATCCAAACTTTTGTATTTCTCCCAAATGGAGCTTTTGCAACAACCGTACGTGGCACAGAAATGAGACATTTTGACGCTGAATTAACAGACGGCWGCATTTACTTCCTGCCCCTCATCTGCATTTTGTGCCGTCGATACGTCATCTGCAACCCAGCAACACCAGGGGCCGTAAAACCAATGTAGGAGTTGAGTCTACACTGGAAAAGCTAGCAAGGGAAAACCTTTGACCATATTAGGTCATAGGTCACCTTCGGAAGGATGCCAAAAAAAACTTCTCTTAAATGTGTATGAATGAAAAATATGCAAACATTTATTCTTCAGGCTTGGTGGAGGTCAAACATGCTTAAACTAGGAACAATAACATCAAATACCACTGCAGTTTTGTATCTGCAGGTTTACCTGCACCGTTGTGAGCTCAACACAATACAGATTTTTAATAGTATATACACTCACCGGCCACTTTATTAGGTACACCACTCTAGTAACGGGTTGGACCCCCTTTTGCCTTCAGAACTGCCTCAATTCTTTGTGGCATAGATTCAACAAGGTGCTGGAAGCATTCCTCAGAGATTTTGGTCCATATTGACATGATGGCATCACACAGTTGCYGCAGATTTGTCGGCTGCACATCCATGATGCGAATCTCCCGTTCCACCACATCCCAAAGATGCTCTATTGGATTGAGATCTGGTGACTGTGGAGGCCATTTGAGTACAGTGAACTCATTGTCATGTTCAAGAAAMCAGTCTGAGATGATTCCAGCTTCATGACATGGCGCATTATCCTGCTGAAAGTAGCCATCAGATGTTGGGTACATTGTGGTCATAAAGGGATGGACATGGTCAGCAACAATACTCAGGTAGGCTGTGGCGTTGCAACGATGCTCAATTGGTACCAAGGGGCCCAAAGAGTGCCAAGAAAAGATTCCCCACACCATGACACCACCACCACCAGCCTGAACCGTTGATACAAGGCAGGATGGATCCATGCTTTCATGTTGTTGACGCTAAATTCTGACCCTACCATCCGAATGTCGCAGCAGAAATCGAGACTCATCAGACCAGGCAATGTTTTTCCAATCTTCTCTTGTCCAATTTCAATGAGCTTATGCAAATTGTAGCCTCAGTTTCCTGTTCTTAGCTGAAAGGAGTGGCACCCGGTGTGGTCTTCTGCTGCTGAAGCCCATCTGCCTCAAAGTTCGACATGTTGTGCGTTCAGAGATGCTCTTCTGCCTACCTYGGTTGTAACGGGTGGTTATTTGAGTCACTGTTGCCTTTCTATCAGCTCGAACCAGTCTGCCCATTCTCCTCTGACCTCTGGCATCAACAAGGCATTTCCGCCCACAGGACTGCCGCTCACTGGATGTTTTTTCTTTTTCGGCCCATTCTCTGTAAACCCTAGAGATGGTTGTGCGTGAAAATCCCAGTAGATCAGCAGTTTCTGAAATACTCAGACCAGCCCTTCTGGCACCAACAACCATGMCACGTTCAAAGGCACTCAAATCACCTTTCTTCCCCATACTGATTCTCAGTTTGAACTGCAGGAGATTGTCTTGACCATGTCTACATGCCTAAATGCACTGAGTTGCCGCCATGTGATTGGCTGATTAGAAATTAAGTGTTAACGAGCAGTTGGACAGGTGTACCTAATAAAGTGGCCAGTGAGTGCAATAAACTAATGATAAACTTGCAGAGCTTTAACAAACAATACTAAGGTTTTGCTTATTGTAGACCTTTTGTTTACTGTTAAGGCAGCATTTATTCCTCTAACAGCAGAAAATAAGTGAACAGCTCCTTTGCCTCAGAATGGTCAGATTCATGATTTTTCACAAACACTGCATACTTTTTCATTACTACTTGTAGAACACATCTGTTTGTCATTCAGCAGCATTTTACTGAATGTTAATCTCATCTGATAGAAAGACGGAGCTGGTGATAAGACTGATCAGCTGCATGTTGTTGGATCAGATTACTAATGAGGAAGACATGAAGTCATTACAGGCAATAAGTGCATTTTCTGTATCCAGTGCAGTCTGCTGTGGATCACTTATTACCTGCTTATCTCACAGCTAAATAAGTATTTGTTTAAAGCAGGTACAACAATTTAAGTTAGTGTTTGTTCGAACAATATTTCAAATATAGATTTGTTAATTTTCTAATTGCAATAATAATTACCGTAGATGCAAAAACTACATTGAAGCTAACTTCAAAACAATAACATGCATGAAAATGTCAAACGGTGGCTTTTGAACAGGAACAAAAATTGCACATCCTCTCACAGTCAATTCTCAGCCGGTTTCCATGGTTACGGTGGAGGAGCTATTTTGAAAGGCTCTAAGCTAATGGTTCTCAATGAGCCGAACTGTAAGTGTGTAAGAGGGGATGTAGTAGGAATGCAAATGTATGACGGAGAGTGCAGGGGGATTCTTTAGCAGGAAAATTGGAGCACGAGCTGCAGCGCCGGCTTCAAAAACTGAATTAGTTGCTTATCGAGACCAGAGGTCATTAGTATGTTTATGAAGCAAAGCCACAACATCAAAGTATACCTGCAGCAGAAATGGTTCTAGTTTCCTTTGTTTTAAAAACAGAAATTGCACTGGAATAGCATTTAAAATGAGGAGTTTTGCATGGAAATGATTTGAGTGCAGAAAGAAATTAAAARGCTGTACTCGCACTCATCCTCCATGAGTTTTAACCCAAGATGATGAGATTATGATGAGAAATTACAGAGTTACAGCTGTTTCAGTCACACCTCATCAATGACATTCTGATCTCATGCAATATTACAAGATCTTAGGAGATGTGTCAGCACTTGGAGAATGTGTTGAAAATGTCTGCCATATTCTATTCTTCTTCAGGTTTTACTTTTTAACCTTCACATTTTTTTTGTCTTCTCGTGAAAGTTTGTTAGATTGTGCCAGGTTTCAATGTTCACTTTAAAAAAACAGTTTCAAATAATGTAAATGTGTCAATGCATTTTCTTCTTCTTAACCCACATATTAAGAATGTGACCTGGCACGCAGGGACGAGTGAAGGCTCCAGAGGCTGAGCTTAAATCGCTCTGCATGAGCAAAAAGCCATAAAGCTGCTACTCCACTCCAGAGAACTGTCCCTGATTCTGTCTGTTTCTCTCTGAGACTTGCTCTCTACTGTCAAGTTGTTGGAACAAATTAGACCAAGGCATGCAAAGGAACAAAGATCTAAATAAAAATAAAGGAAGAAAAGAAAATGGAATGATGCAGGTAAGCAAATTAAAAAAACCTTAAAAGTTGTGAGTTACACTGTTCAAGCTGATAACGTTAAACTGTTTGTTGCATCTGTTCCTGCTGACTAAGGTCATCATGAAGGCACTGCTACACAAGTTACAAGGCTTTAACTGTGTAACCTGATGACTTCTTTCCCCAGTGAAAACATCTGAATGTGTCCTGTTAGAGTCAGCAAATAGTCACTTTGAGAAATCCTTGAAGTGTAAGAAAAGAATGTGTGACTGCAAAGACTGCTGATGGAAGCGCTTTGTAGATATGCCAAGAAATATACCAGAAGAAAAACCAAAATCCACTCATGGCATCGTTTTACACCGGCCCTGTGTTAAAAAATGCTCCACTTATAATTAAATATTATTTTTTTAATAGTTACTTTCAGTTAGACAATATCCTTTAAGTAAAACACCATTCAGCAGCAACTTTGTACTCAGCATCCAGTGGTGGGGAGCGCTCATCCTAAACTTAACTTGCAATTTCTAAAGCGCTTGTGACAATATTTAGGTCCGCAACTTCAAAAGTGCCTGAGTCACTGAAAAATTAGCGAAACCTAATTTTAAAGCACACGGTCAATTTGACACTTACTAGCTGACAACAATTCATGTACAATAAATGCACAACACTGCCAACTAGTGGTATATGAACGTTGTACAGCTTAATCCTACAACTGCCGATTGCTGGGGATGTGATTTCCTGAAACAGAACTTTAGCTCCTGGTGTAAAAGTTAAAAAGTTGTTGAGGATTGTTAGTTCGCCTGATTCTTTAAAAAGTTGTTGAGGATTGCTAGTTCGGCTGATTCTTTGTCTTTTTCTTTTGTTTGTTGTAAATTTTTCATTAAAGAAGCATCAATAAAGTAATTTTAAAACTGTTTATTGGAAAACTGAAGCAATGCATTCTGGGTACATGAYGGATTTGATTTGTGACGGGAAACAAAAGCACAGTGTACAGGAAACTATCTTCCCTTCAAATTAAGAGTTTGGATTTTAAAATTTACCATGTACTGTAGTTGCTCTAGTTGACGACTAAATGTCTGTCTTCACCAGCATATCATCTTTAAATCGTTTCTGCGTCTCTGACCCCATTGCTTGGACTATTACGTCAAGTATTSAGCTCCACCGTTTAACCTTTWTTTTTTTTWAAAAAAGGAGCTCCGATTGTAAAGTAAAATAAATCAATACATATAAAATTTTAGTATGGATTACAAACTTTAACGGGTTTTGCTATTGCCTTCCTGCTACGTAAGCAGACACAACACATTGTGGGAAATGAGAACCATGACCGAAAACAACAGTTAGCAAAGACKTATACCTTTCCAATAAGTGTGTTTATCTGAGAGGGGTGCTGTTGGATAGATCAGTTGTGATTCATTGACAGCCATACCTTCTGCTGTTCAAGATGATGATGACTGGTAGATAGTTAGTTATTAGCGGTATTGCATTTTAATTTTAGAAAGCGCAAATCCGCTTATGAATTATAAATTTCAATAAGATTGCTAAAGCGCAAATGAAATATTTAGGTCCGCAATTGGTGGATTTGCGTTTTAGTGGGCTGGTGCCCACCACTGTCAGCATCCATCATGCAATATTCAAAAGGTCAAAGTACAAACAATCGTCCAGGCATCTGCAGCCACTGATTACTTCTTTTTATCATGGTGAAAAGTGTTTTAAAAGCTTCCTTTCTTACCCATTAGCCAGATTCTCGTCATCATCATCTGGCAGGCTCTTTCCTTGAAGGTCAGTGTCACTCAGGTAACCGGACTTGAGGTCAGCGTCATCAACGTCGAGACCCTCTATGAGCTCAATGCGAGACGTGCTGCTGAGTCGGCTGGAGCAGCGAGCGGGCATTGTGTGAGCCGTGTACTGGGAAGARCTTTTACTGCCCTGGTACCCACTGCCCGTCGAGGACGGCGCGTCACCGGCCTGGAGACGGGGACTGGATTGACCGTGGYGCCAGGACAGAGGTGAGGAGCGGTTCGACAGGCTGGAGATGCTGCGGGCGTTGGTCTCATCGCTGTCGTAGCCCACCGTACTGCTGTCCAGACAGCTAGACAGAGAGATGCACAGGATCAGGGGGTCTTATTTATAAAATGTTTCACATCAAAGCCTGAATGAGACCAACAATACATCATATCTGAAAGAACTTCCAAACCAAGGTGATCTTGACCCAGATATATTAGGTGTGTCATTACATCCTCAGAGATTAAAGCCTGAAGTGTTTGCTCTCAGAACTTGGAAGATGAAAACTGGGATGGCCTGATAGCCTAAAATAAAGTTAAAGTGTTGCTATGCTTCTTGTCAGTACTCTGTATGAGAATATCCAGGTTTGTCTTTTAGGTTTAATATGTAGGTCAGRGTTAAAATCGCCCACCAAACAGCTCAGAGCATCTTCAGTGTCTGTGCATTACATAACTACATGAACCAAGTCACCCAAATAAATATTGTAAAGCCTACAAATGTGGGAGTATATTTTTATCCTTTGTTTATGGATTATTCATTATGTGAGGTTTGTACAACGAGGTTGGTGAAATTTGCTGCAAAAATAAAGTTCGACTTGACTGAAACGATTATATTCATTTTTAAGGCCATTTGCAGACGGCAAATATGAAAGCTCAATTTAAAAAAAAAACCTAACGAAAAATTTAATTTGTCTCTTGAAGAAGTATTTAAAGCTGAAAGAGTATGCAGTTTAACAATGACAGGGTTGTAAGAAATAAATTTATGTTTTCCCTAGGGGTCACAGGTGCCCATATCCAGAAGTCACTGTGGGAGGGGTGGAGGGGCAAAACCTGGACTGGTCGTAAGTCCATCACAGGGCCACAGAACCATTTACTCTCTCACTCATACCTATAGGGACAATTTAGAATAGAATTACTAATTACCCTAACAGTCATGTTTTTGGTCTGTAGGAAAAAGTTGGAGCACACAGAGAAAACCCACACATGCACAGAGAGAAATGCAAACTCTACACATTGCACATGTGAAATACACAAAAGTGAACCAGTAATCCAAGGGGGAAACTGTTCAGGAGTAGAAGACCACCCAGATTTAAAAAGTTAAAATCGTGCCACTATCAGAATAAAATCTTTTTTTTTTTTTTGCCTTACTGATGTTTCGAATGTTAACACTCAAAACTTCAGAATTTTATATTAGTTAGGAAACTACTAGCCTGGCTCTTGCCTTCCTATACAGTTCCGCTCAATTCATTTTTCCTTCACTGCTTCATCTGAGGTTTCTCCCATAGACAAGGATATCTCCGGTAGAATTTCAACCGGGCCAATCAGCGAACAGAAGGTGGAGTTGTGAATGATGACATCAATTGTCTGTGCTTTGATGCCTGCCTGTAGTTTAGCGATGACAGTGGAGGAAGTACRGGATGGTTGTTTACAACGCATGTAATTTCCAGCTAGCTTCTTAGCTTCTTTCACAGTGGCGCAATACACGGCCAAATGTTAGCGATTGGGTAAATTAGATCCAATCATTTTAAACTTCAACACTGTCCATGCCTCCAAAGAAATCACTTCTCAATGGCGAGAGAGTCCAGAMCCCTCTGTATGCAAAGCAAAGAACAAGGAGCTGGTTTTTACCAGGCTAGAAAACTGCACATTTTTGATTTGTTTTAGAAATATGTAAAATAAAAAAACAACCTTATTTTTGAAACACTGAAAATTAAACTTGAAAGTCCAAATTGAATTTGAACGGCCAAGTTTGATGTTCAAACGGTTCCTTCTATCAAAACATTGTAGTTGTTGAAACATTTGTGTTTAGGGTTGTTTTGCTGATTAGCCAAAAACAAGAGATTCCTGAAATGAACTCATCAGCATCAAACGCAGAAGGCCAATTTCAGAGGGATGGCAGCCAGATGTGCACAAATTCTCCAGGCAGCTACAACACAACTGTTTACTGATTGTGCTTCGGTGCGAGCCGATCCAGCAAACTCCCAGCTGCTTGGCTCTCATTTTGTGTTCCTTTCATCTTAACTTTAAAAGAGTTTATTTTCAGATGTTTTGGGCTTACCTGTGACCGAGYTGGGAGCCCCGCAGACTTGTCATGGTGTCTTCTAGATTCTGACGGAGATCAAGAACATTCTGCACAGTCCTCTTCCTCTGCGACTCCGGGTCTGTGTCAAAATAGAGCTCCTTTTTTTTTTTTTTTTTTTTTTTTTTTGTCGTCTGTGTTTTAATAGAATGCATACAAACAGAAAACTGCCTTCACACGAGCTTTCTCACTTAGATTATTTGTGTCTGACAGCTGTTTTCCATGCAAGAACCCAAACAGTGAATGTTCACATCATTAGGCAGACAAATCTCACTCGATGGGCTGCTTCAATGTGGCAAACCACACTCCTCTGAACTGATGTGGTGCATCTCAAATCTGAAAAACGTAAAATGTCTCGAAMTAACATGGTTAACCAGGGAGATTTAAGGAGTTCTTTCAGATGTTTGCCTGTTGAAAGGTTGTTTTCTGTCCTACTGAGCATTATTTGATCATCATATGGTACAAGTTGTGAGACTCTCAATCTAAATTACAGCCAGAACAAATTCACTCCACATCAGCTTATTCAGGCCAAGCTGCACGCAGTGTAAAACATGTGGTCACTGAGTTAAGGCCATGTCAAATCGATATCAGGCGTGTTGTTGTGTCAGCTGTAACAAATGAGAGGTACCTCCCTATTTCAAAAACGTTCAACCACAATGTTGATTCAGAGAAAACTATAAACATTTATAAACATATGGATTATCTGGACAGTTTGACAAAAAGTAGGGAAAAAAWTTTGGACCAAATGCAAAAATCACTGATATTTTCACAAGAGGATGAAGCACAGAAGCATTCAGAAAATAAGGTTCAGAAATCATTTGAATAATTAAACACATTTTCTGATCTCTTTGCAATAACGTGAGCACATACAGTATCTATAGTAAACCTTTAAAATGTTGCATTGAAATAAAATCCATTGGTTTTACTTTAAGGCAATATTTTCTTCCATTTAACTGAACAAAAGTTGAAAATTGGAAGTATATTGAATTTCTAAAATGCTTTATCCATGAGTATTTGCTAGAAAAATGTGCCACCTTACAAAAAGTTTCCCCTTATTGATGTCTTATAAATAGTTTATAGGTTAGTAATTCATCTGTAAACACTTTATAAATTATATAAATATTATCATTATAACTTTAAACTATTTATGAGCCATCTATAAGGGGAACCTTATTGTAAAGTGGTACAAAAACTTCATGTAATTCTGTACAAGCTGACTTATTATGAGCATAAAGATACATGGAACTCTGTTACAGAAATAGTCAAGTTGCTTTTAAGGTGTTGGTTAATGCAACATGTGGTGGTCACACTGTAGTTTTTAATTTATAATATTTTTATTTTTTGTTACCACTTCAGTTTAAGGCTAATAGATTTTTAAACATACTGAGCAAGGATCAACACCCAGCATTTTATTAACACGAGGCACATGTGTGAATCACATCTGCTATGAGTTCATCCTGCATGAAGTATTCTTTGTGTCCCCATTAACAGCTGGTGGTCCTCTAATGCTCTGCATGCAATGATGCCTGTAATCAAGAGCACAAAMTACTGTATCTGCACATTTGACACCATTTTCAAGATGTTTTCACTTTGAGAAGTAATCAACATTTTTTCTGCACATGCTGTCATGAGTGAAGTAAGGCTGACCTAGTTGGAGAAAATTCCATTACCAATAGACTATTTCAAAAACTTTTCCACATGATGTGCAGGCAAACTAAAACATGACAACTTTTAATAAAATAAACAATTGGACCTCTGAAATAAATACTTAAACAGTTAAAAATGTCCTGTATGTGTTGTGCAAATTTACTTTCAGTCCATGAAGAATCAGGATAAGAGTTGCGATCAACAGCACCCATAATTAGATGCTGTGATTTCTTTCTAAAATTGCTTTCTTTGCTCAGATTTAAAAAAATTTCAAAGACAGAGGTTACTTCATTTCAGAGTGTTCAGATGAACCTGTTTAAGTTTTAAAAACTGTGAAAAAGCAAAGAAAAAAGTTCTGGTTAAAATAAATAAAAATAAACAATTTTCAAGTTGGAGGCGGACACTTTCAAGATTTTTAAGAGAGATAGAGATAAAGACGAAGATAGAGATAGAGATAGAGATAGAGATAGAGATAAAGATAGAGATAGATTATTTTATTGTCACTGTATGGACCACAATGAAATTACATTTGACAAAAACATGGGGGAACAGGTGATCAGGTCATGCTGCAACCAGCAGGGGTTGTACTACTTTTAAAAAGAAAAACTAAATACTACAGAAGGTTAGATGAGGATTTTTTATTATTTTTATTATTTTTCATTATTTTTTATTTTATTTATTTATTTATTGGTGCTTTGGTCTTCACCAGAAGCTAAAATATTCATGTGAACATCAATCCTCTCAGGAAAAAACAATCAGTTTTCCTTGAATGGTCAGTAAACCATGTTTTGAAAAATTGTTCCATCCTTAGCTAATATTTATAGAGTTAATAATAGAATAATGAGCATTTCTGACTCCTGTGTAAAACAAAAAATAAAGACAGCCATGACACTGCTTTTCACTGCAGCATTTTTGAGTCATTGCAATATTCGTGGACATCTGGGATGACAGATCTTATTTAATTATGATGAAGTCAGCCTTTTTTGGCAGGGGGTTGTGCTGTTTGTGCTGTTCCTATCATTTTTTTTCTTTACTGATGTGACCCTGTTATTTTAATAACATGAAAACTATACTCTACAACTCTAAAACTCCTTTAGAACTATTGATCTAAATTAAATTGTTGTTAAGAAAAAAGA